CTGGCACAGAAAAAGAGAGAAAAAAAAGAGAGAAAAAGAGAAAGCAGAGAAAAAGAGAACAAAGTAAAAAGGAAACAGTAATAAGGCTGAGTCTTACGGCGTGATTATTTCCGGATTGGATTTGGGGTGGGGGTCCTTTTCTGAGCCAAAAAAACATTTTGGGCTTCTTACGGGTACGAAAATGGCAATTTCCAACAGCCCAAATTCCAACAGCGCAGTTTCCAACAGCGATTCCGGCAGGCCTGTTAGACTGTTAGAACATTGGCCCATTTTCCAACAGCGATCCTGTTGGAATATCGCTGTATGAAGTGGGTGTGGGTAACCCCTGGTCACACCCCGATCGTGCCAGAACGAGGAACTACACCGTCTGCTGGCCAAACAGAGGCCAGTATCATGAGGTCATGCACAAACCCTCTGCAGGTATCTAAAATTCAGGGCGTTCTGCGTCGTGTTGACCGCACACGATCCGAAAACGTCAACCCTTCCACATTGCTCTGCTGACGTTCTTGCCTTTGGGCCGAAAAGAGCCGTTTTTGCGCCTGCTGCATGTGTGACCAGTTAAAAACGCATGCCAGAGAGAGGCCTTAAGCCGTCGACATCCACAAACTGCAGCCAATGGCGTGTGTTCATACTCATACCCTCTACTCGCGTACCAGAAACAGAGCGTGTTGTCCAGTCTTGATTGCACACGGCCTGCAAACGTGAACCAAAGTGTGTTGCGGTGTTGACTTTTTGGTCTTTTTCCTTGTTCCGCCGCGTGTTTGCTCCGTGTGCCACCCGCGACCAGTCAAAAACGCATGCCAGAGAGAGGCCTTTGGCCGACGACATCCACAAACAGCAGCCACTGGCCTGTGGTCATACACATACTCTCTGCTCGCGTCCCAGAAACAGAGCGTATTGTCCAGTTTTGATTGCACACGGCCTGCAACAGTGAATCGAGGTGTGGTTCGGTGTTGCCTTTTTTGGACGTTGCTTTTTTTTCTGCCGCATGCTCCGAGTCGAGTGTGATCAGTGTACAACGCATACCATCAGAGAGAAGCCTTTGGCCGACGACATCCACAAACTGCAGCCACTGGCGTGCGATGATACACATGCCCTCTGCAGGCGACCCATAAATAGGGCGCTCGGTGTCTTGTTGGTCGCACACGAGCTAAAACCGTGTACTGAATCATGTTGTGACTCGCAAGAACATGAATCAGCCTCTTTTTTCCCTTCAGAAATAAGAGGCAGAAAAAGGCACACGGTGGAGAGACCACTAACGAACAAACTGGTACATAACACGCATGACATTATGGAACAGCGCCACCCAAAGGATCTGAGGCGTGTAGAATACAAGATCCCAAACAACCTTCATCCCACCTAGACAGGAAGTTGAACAAGCCTCACCGACACATACGCGCATGCCCCTTCCATCTACAACTGCCATGCTCGCTTGTCGACGCTCTCGTACGCTATTGGCTACAGAGTACAGCCGTGACGCCATACATGGTCACCGAGACATGCCACTGCAAACTGGACCCGGGAGTACAATGTTGGTCCGCACCGACCGTCACACACACAAACACAACACTCGACTACAGCTGTCTACGCGAAGTAAGCAGTATACCCCACCAGATCCCGCCCATCTTGCATGTACTTGCATACTTGCATATGTTAGGATAATGATACTCGACGCACACCGAGGTATGTACAACAGATACATGCACATAGCGCCCGCACTGAAGAACTTGGTGCAGAACTTCGTGCTCACTGCTGTGCGTTCTACCAAAAATTCTACCAAAAATGGAAGAACTTGAAACCTGAGCACCATTTTTGAGCCCGGTAAAGCCCCCGACACTATGTAGACTACATGCGTCAAACGTTGTAGCGGCCAAGTGTAGGCCACAAATAAGGAGAAGTGAGAAACTCAAGAACTGAGAAACCCAGCCTCAGTCAAACCTTGGTGTATAGCAGTCATGTATATGATGCATTCATGTGCCATTATTCTAAGAACTTCCTTCCACGTTTTGGCAATACTACACAATAATGAAACCGCACGTGCACGCACGCACATCTATATATACAACAAACGATACACGAGGTTTTCGGCCCTTATTGCCACCGCCCCCCCAAAATTGAGTGATTTCAAGACAACACGCTCGACATAGAGCGCAGGGCAGGAACTCGATGAAAAAAGCGCTGTTGTCTTGACACCACACATGTACGCCATCCATTGGACGATGGCGGACGTGATTTTTTTGTTGGTGCTGGGTTTTGGTGTGCAATAGCTTCCGCTACAGGTCTTCCACACTTTCGTTTTTTTTCGTAATGCACCCATGGGCCGCCCATGAACTTCCCAAATACCCATGGACAGCCCGTGATGGTCTCCCCATGGGAAAACCCATGGGGCGGCCAACGGTGGGCACCCTGTCAGCAGTTCATGGGCAGCCCAAGATCCGTGGGCAACCCATGGACTCCACACGATACGTTCTAGGTTGGCGCTGGGTGGCTAAGTTCTATGCTGATGAGCCGATGACTATGTTCTAGGTTGATATGCCGGTGGCGGGTTCTAGGTTGAAGTGCCCACGGTAGGCACTTCGTGGGCAGTTCTTGGGCCGCCCATGGGAATACCCATGGGCTGCCCATGAAGTGCCCATGGGCGTCCCACGGGCGTCCCATGGGCGGTCTAGCGAAACTGCCATGGGTGTGGGAGATTGGGGAGATTAGGTTTCCTCCCACGACCAGCGCCGCGGGCGATTCATACGCGTAGGTCAAACGAGGACGAACGCAACAATGTCTTCTTTGTCTGAAAGAATGTTGGGCACCAGCATCGAACGACAATACACACATTAAGAAGTACACCCTGCCTGTCGGTGTCGGCTCTAACATAATTAGATAATGCCGTCATCGCGCGACATAGTGGTCCTCATCATTGTAGGTGCATGTGGGGCCGATTTTTTTTCCCTAGTGAATCCGCCGCAGACCCCACCGACATGGACCGAACCAACAAATGCATATCTTATCCGGGTAGAGCTCGCAATTCACATCGTGCTTGCGTTAACCTGTACAACCAATCTTGCGGTATGCTCTCTTCATGGTCGTTTTGCGCGAGGATGCAACAAAGAGAGGTGCTACTGAACGGTGCTGGATTACAATAAACGTCCCAGCAACTGTTGTTCAGATAAACAAACCCTTCTTCTTTCTCCGATAAACTGAAAGACTCGCATCGCCAAGGAACCCTAACCCTAACCCTAGTTACATGAATTCTTCCCGCCGTGCGCAACTAGGCTGACATTGCAGGTAGGTACGCGTGAAAATCAGTATACGACGTGTTTTGCCTCGACGATCTTTGTAAGGGCATATTTTTGTCTCCTCGCCCGTCCTACCGTTCATCAATACACAGGGCGTTTTGTTGTTGTTGTTGCTGGCAAGACGTTGGCAAAGCACCGCGGAAGAGAGAGTTTCGGGTGTAACACGGCGGGCTCTTTTCATTTCGAATCTTCAACTTACCGGGGAGGACTTCGCATGCACGTGGTCTAGACAAGGGTATATCTCCTTCTGACCAATCTTGAGTATATGAGATGTTCGAATTCCGTCATGTCGCAACGTGTCTGTCGGAAACTGTGAAACATCCTTTTTCACATACCATCTCTCAAATAGCTGTATACTCGTGGATTCTTCAGGGGTAAGGCGTACCAGATCGAATATGACGGGGGGAGACGGGGGGGAGTCAGCCATACAGCTGTCATGATTCTACTCTAGAACGTCTGCACTCAGCAACAATAGCCACACATGCCTATCTCTAAATGGACTAATTCAAGTATTTTCCAACATCGTGCCCTTGGTATGCGTATGCGAATCGCGCATCCGTAACCCCACCGCAGTTTATCATCAACGTCATCGAGTTCCGAACGAATGCTTCCAGCCTAATCATGAGGACTTGGGCGCCTGGCGGCGCCAAAAATCCGGAGCCCTTTGTATGAACGTTTTGTTGCACCGTGGTCTAACGCTGCCTGTTTGTGTGAAACTGTTGGGACGACGCTCCCCCGAGCGACAGGAAACTCGCCGCGCACGCCGCGCACGCAAGAGGAACGTATGAGGAAAATGGGGCGAACAGGCTCCACAACTAAGAAATGGACATCAAGATCGGGGCAGGTGGGCATCATATCCACCCAACAGGCAAACATACAGTCTAGGGGATACGCACAGTCTAGGGGTTATCCCGACGCCCGAAACGCCACGAGTCTGTTGACACCGAGGAAGAGGTGGTAACATGTGTTAACATCCTCGATCTTGCTGTTAAGGTCAGCCTCATGTTTACCGCTTGGATGGCTAACGACTTCGCAGGGCGAACCATGAAGGAAGGTTTAGCAGACAACGTAGATTCACATCGTGTTGGCCGTTTCGTTGAAATACATTCACAATGCCGACTGCAGCCGGAAGTATTTGTAGTTCGCACGATGTCAACCGTGGAGTCGAAATCGCAAAATCGTGCTTGCCGCGGGTACCCTGCCGGACCAAACACAATGACGGCAGGGAAAATGTCGCTTCCCACACTCTGTACTTGTTCGTTCACCTTTGATGTTTCTCCCGAACGCGCGGCGCAGGGACTCTTGCTGACGATGGTGCTCGTTCAGAACTCCTTGACAGTGCCACCAGCCCTAGCCGAGAAGTTTCCAATCATTGGACTGAGGGGCGGAAAGGAGGATGAAACAGCAGCAGCAGCAGCAACAATAGCATCAGGGCAAGATTTGCCTCGCCCAAACCGACTACGACGCGAAGGATATCCGTCCTCGCGAGGAGACCGCCAACGTCACCAACAGCTGCGGACAAAGCAGGAGCGTATTCCGTATGCCCCGGTATCATGGAACCACCATGACCAGCAGGAGTGGGGGCAAGAGCACCGAAAACTGGACAGAACAACGAAAGGGGATCCAAAGCTCTCGTTAGAACCAGAGATCCTAGAAGATGGGAATAGTACCTTGATTTACCGCGCTGCCACCACACCTCCAACCAAAGGTATGTGTCCGGTTGCCCTCCATAACTCCAACGCTGCGGTACTGCGAGAAGACCGGGATAACGCCGCGCCGTCGACTGTGATTGCCGGCGCGTTGTCTGTGTGGAAAAGACTGCGGCAGGCCGCAACCGCACCATCTCGACTGCGATGCCCGAGCCCGCCGTGCTGTCTTGTGAGTGTCAAACCTGCTGCCACTGTCACTGGATATCAACATTACCCATAAATCGATTATGAGTGTGTACTGCGGTCGGTTGTTCACTCGTTTCCTCCATTTAGTTTCTGGTCTTACCACTGTGCTAGAACTCCCGCTTATGGTTTTGCTCCGGCCTGTGCCCACCCACAAGCATGCACCTATGTATCACCTCCACCTGCTCTCTCTCTCTCTCTCTCTCTCTCTCTCTCTCTCTCTCTCTCTGACTCTCCTGCAGGGGATGCACGCACACACGTACCAGGGGGGCGACCTCGGAGAGGAGATGTCGCACATCCAGGGAGCCGTTGTGGTCCGCAGGCCCGATCTGGTGCGGGCCCCCGGATCCCTGGCGCCTGCCCACGACCTTGACTTCGTCAAGACGTTTCAGTCCTATTTCCAGATCGCGCAAAGCTCGCTGCTAAGGTGTGTTGTTTCTCCTTTCCATTGTAGTCCGTTCGTGAGTAATCTTGAGCGAAAGACAACTGAACCCATCTCTCGTTACAATACGAACAGATGGGAGGCTGTGTGACCTCGGATCGGAGCTCATTTGTTGGAGAGGAAAGAATATACCGTTAGGTAGAAATTGCGAGCGAGAGTAGACGGGATGAAGAGAACAATATAATAGTCGCCGATGTGGATGCTCGTTATTGCACAACGTTATGTGAGGTGCGGATGCAACTAGCGTATGCACCTCTGCGTGGATAAGTTGAACTGGAGGATCGGATCTCACAGTACTCCCACCTCCTAGACGTTCTTACAGTTTTCCTGTCTTGTGCGTGGAGATACTGACACCGACTGGCTTATGTTTGGTTGGGCTCACGGTACGGCAGTTCAGGGCAACTGCGGCATGAAACCGTCGGTCATTATTTTTTCGCCTCTCGTGAAAACGGCGTGGCGATTTGTCCCCCTCACGCAACTATGTACGACATATGTTCTCCACCTTCAAGCTCTACCAAGCTTCAAAATGATCGTGAAATCCGACGAAACCCGAAAATTTGCGTTCTTCTCACCCGCTGCCAAATTATTCAGCCTTCTGAAACTGCTAAAACAGCAGGCGACAGCGTGTTGGTCACTAGCATTTGCGTTGTTATAGGAGCGAAATCACGGCTGCCCTTGCAGAGCCATGCTTGTTTATTTCTTAAGAGTCTGCTGAAACAGCCCGTGCTAAGAGTTTTTGCTCTGTTGTCGGAGCTCGCTGCGTCCCTGTAGCATAACGCATCCCCATCTTCTCGCACGCGGTTTTATCATAACCCGTTGGAACAGGCGATTGGTTGAGGCCGACGGGTTTAACTTGACGTCCACGACCCAGCACGTGCTTCCGGCGTTTAAGGAGCTGTTTGTTGCCACTTCTTTCTTAGGTGCCGTTCGTGAGGGCAACCCTGCCGCAGCAGAGTGAGTGACTTCAACCTCTGGTGTCCGAACATACAAATGCAACGTTTTTGTTCTACATATGTTGCTGAAACAATTTCTTTGATCGTCAGTTTTCTTGTGTACCAGGGGCCGCACGGACGCTGCTCTTGCGCGCCCGGTCTACGTCGTGTACTGCCCAAACTGAAAAGCTCAAGATGAAGAGAAGCGAAAAATAGTGCACCCGATGCATATGCCTTATTGGTATGGACTGCCGAAATCGAGTATGTTTGGGATCTGGACATATATGCGACATATTTGATGCCCGGCTGCATCGCTAGTACGAGCGAGGCGCTCCCTTTGTTGAGGAACCCGTGCGCGCACGACCGCATGTCACGCCAAGCGGCTACCAGCGCGGCGTGAGCATGGGTTGTGCCTGATTACCCGAAACTCAACTGTCTCTTCGGGCTTATGACACGAAAGCAAGGGAAGTAATGATCATTTTCGAGTGGGCAGGCTCTCCATGATTTGTTCCAATTTTTGAATTCATCCGATCACAACGTTCTTTACAATCCGTAAACTGGTGACACACGTTGGGGTTCTTTTTTTGATGTGCTACCCCCGTTTCTTCGCTCCTTGACATTCTCGTTGGTATCTGCCACACCCGAGCAAGGCTATTGACCCCGTACTGTTCGGGAGAGGACCCAAGGCGAGACATCGAGGAGTGCGTGAGGATCCCTACGTTGGTCAGCATGGCAAACGTGTACACTAACAAGAAGGGGGCCGTGTGGAACGAGAATGTGAGGAAGAGCACCGTTGGGACATTTTGCTAGGTGGAGGGAACGAGTGTGCTTACTCCTTCTTTCTTCGACTGGTTTTTGCCTGGGCGCCCCGGCGTCAAGCGACTAGGTTCTCAATATCGACGGCGTGTGTTGTCACGAGCCCTACAAATATCGACGGCGTGTGTTGTCACGAGCCCTACAGTAGGTACAGGCATCGATATACCACATATCCGACAGACATGTGCGTGGTGTTGATTTGCAGCAATCGAAGTGGTACTTCGTGTTTTCCAGGGTGACTGTTTATTGTGCAGACATCCGAACGAAGGCAATGGTATGTTGTTTTTTATAACGTTGTGGGGGGAAGCGGTCCCTTTCATAGTCTGTAGTTTGTCACTCTAGAGTGGTCTGAGGCTCTGAGGATGAGGCGGGATGATCCGGAAGCAACAACAGCAACAAGAAGAAGAGTGACGTGCTTGCAAGATAAACATGGAGCAGCAGTTTCTTGAACGATACACCTGTTGCTGTTTTGCACCACCAGTTCCTACCACTGTTGAATATTTTCCTGACGACGAAACATCCGTTCTTGCCTCGTCCTGTTGGGGGGGCGGCGGGGATGTTTTTTCAACTTTCCCGATCGACCCTATGCAGGATTTTATTATACCGGTGAATTGTCAGGGATTAGTACACCGTGATTTCGATCTCGCCCGACGACCATCCGCGCATGGTTTGCCGACAAGCCTCCCCGACTACGACAAGGTATTGCAAAAAAACTAAAAAGTAGTAAGAGAATAATGGTGGACGGTAATGTCGTTCGACCGCGGCGGGAAGGGTACTATCATGGAGGGGAGCGTATCGATTGAAATTGGCGGAATTTCGTGTTTTGGTTCTTGGCGCATGCGTACGACTTTGCCCAGCAAGCTTGATGCTTTCGTCGAGCACAATGGTGGATACCACGAGTTAGTACGGTGACGGCACGCACGATTGCATCGTTGGAATGTGCAGGGGGGACGTTGTTGTGGTAAACTATGTTTTCGATTTTAGCGACTGTTGTTTTGTGTTTGTTTGCGCCACACGGTCGAAAAAGGGAAGAAACAATTTTCATGTTGAAACCCACATTACTCTGCGCCCTGCCTGCGGTCGTCGATAGCTGCACATGACATGAAGAAAATCTGCGTCTTAACTCAACCATTCTTGGGTAGTTTCGGTTGACACCAAGCCAGAGTTGCACAGCAAAGCCTGTAGGCGGCCCACCATTCCTTCTGCGTTAGATGTAGCCCCTACAACACGACAGTATCGACACGAGAATTGGCCGCATCTCACGCTGCACATTGAATGGACAGGGCCTGAAGCCGAACAACGTACATACTGTTGAGCCGATCACTCAAGTTTCAGCTTGTCGTCGAATCGGTCATGCGTCTAGCCCTCCTCCGTGGTTGTCGAGCTACATGGTCTTCAGACCCATGAACATATCAGCGTCTCCCTTCGGCTTACCGCTGTCCGACCATCAATCGCCTGTGGCTGCCTCAGGTGTTCGTGATGACCCAGGAGTGGACCCCGAACTACTACCACTTTACGGTGGAACATCTTCCGCGGATCACTTTGGGGCTAGATATCCTTCTCGAAAACCCAGAAATCATGGTGAGTGCTGCGGAATGCCTTCCCCGTTTTTCACCACCTAGACTACATTTTCAGTTTTTTATGCATGCCATTTTGTTCAAGGTCGCTGGAAACATGGCGAACAAACAGTCGCCGTTGCTAAAAAGGGCATTGCGGGGGATCGCAAGGAATCATGTAGCTCTTGGCACCCCGGGCCGTGTGCGATTACCAGTATCCTGGTGCATGTTGCGTGACGCGGAATGCAGGATCCCAAGTTGGGGAGCAGGAGGACGAATCATGTGGCTGTGTCTTGGTCTCAGTTCCTTTGTCATTACCCGATCTGATGAGGTTATCGCGAACGACGCCGGTGTGGCACATGCGTCTCACTGCCGTAGAGGGGGGGACGTAGCCTTCTTTTCTGGCAACGAGCAACTAGACTTGCGCAGCTACCGCATGGCTGATCGGCTAGGGTTGCGTTTTCGAGGTCACAAGGGCGATCAGGATGGGAGAGGGAACATTCGAGTGCGGAGTCGGGGGTAAGAGCGAGTGGCGGGGCAGTTGCTCTTGTTGTGGAGCTGTCATCGTGTCATGCGACGTTGCCCGACTCCGCACAACTGTCGTCTTTCCGCGAGAAGGAAGGGGCGGTACCCGTGGCGAAGTACAGTAGAGCGCTTACTGCGCTAAGAGAAGTCGTCGCCGAGTCCGGGCGAGACCCCCCCAACACTATGCATCACATGCGCTACGAATCGCGGGCGCTACGACTTTGGCATCCGGCGGGGACATTTCTGAGCGGGTAATTCAAAGAGAAGGAAAACGTTCTTCGGATGTATACAAGCAGTACGCTCAGAACAAAATGGGGGATTCGAGAAGGGTGTCGCAAAAGCTGACGAATGGGCGTAGGTCAAAAGAATGACACCCGGGGGAAGGCACGACATGGGGAACGAGGGGTCGACTGCGCGTAGGCAGTAGTCTGGCTGACTGCACGTGGGCAGTAAGTAGCCTGGAGTAGACCTCGCCTTGGGTGTAGTTAATGGTCGAGTACCATTTGGGGACTTGGTCACTCCAGACCCCTGCGTGCAATCGCAGTAGCCGGCTTCCCCCCGGCTGGATGTAGCAGATTTGCGAGCAGAGAGAGAGAGGGGACAGAGACAATTTTTGAGGGGGAATCAGGCGCGATGCTTGTGTGTGCTTCAGCGCGGGTTCCCACCCCTTCTCTCTTTCGATCCTTGGTGATATAGAAACCGATAATGACCAAGCAACAAACGGCAAGGATACTCGAAACGCCAACGTTTGTCTTGGCTGGTCGTCAGCCGTGAAAACTGGTCGGAGCGCCATTCATCTGTTTTCCAGCAGCTCCGACTTGTCCAGAGCAGCTCTTGACGGCTTCACCGAAAAACCCGACAAAAACCAGCATCGATAGATATTTCTGCGCATGTTTGCCACAAGTTACAACACACACACGCTGCCCACGAGAACCCAACGTGAGGAGTCATGCACGTGTATCTTCCCTGAAAAGCAGCTCGACGAGCAATGTGGGATATCTGTTGGTACCGGTGCTGTTCCTGGCCCTTCGGTGCCTGTATTCCTACGCAAATTCCCTTGTCGTTGGCGATCTCGCCCTTCTTGAACTCCGCTGCCGCCCCTATTTGTTGCTCTGTTCTCGTCAGGTCATGACATATGTGTCTTCATTTTCTCTTCCATTACGCGCACTATTTGGCGAGAAACGGACAAACGCTAGACTAACCGCTGGTCCATGACATCAATCGTCACATACGGATGGCCTTTTTCTCTCCTCGTGCTGTTCTTGCGTGCCCGAACTAGACCTCGCTCGATTTCGGATGCCTATTCAACGAAACCTCGTTTCGGATGTAGCACCAATGAGACATATTTGACGTGATGCTATTGACAACGTGCTCCGCGTGTGTTCGAACAACTGCATGCAGATCTCAATGCATTTCTACCAGCCCGACCCACTACATGACGACATTTCGGCAGTGCAGGAAGTTCAAATGGAGATGCTTGAGATTCTGGGAATCAACAGAAAGCGCGTCGTCTTTGTCAATAAAGAGGTGGGGAAACAAGCACATGCTGTCAGTGATGGGTCTTAGTCGCTGTCGTTGTTTACCGCAGGGCATATTCGTGCGTTCACTAGACTGTCTAGATGGACAGAACTCTCAACCAACAAGACATGTTGCGGTACAAAGAACGTCGGGTTAGGAATAGAAGGTTTGACATGCCATTAGACAGTTTCAGGCATCAATGGCTAATATCGGATCTACTACATCAGGCATGTGCCAAGGATACAATCGCGAGCTGGGTAAACATGAGCTTTGCGTAGTGGCCGTCGTGCCCGAAGGTTCGGGGGGAAACACCGAAAATTGGTCGGGACTCCGATAGATGATCGCTCCATCGAGCCACGTGTTTTTCGAACTTCGTTGACGGTACACCGTTGTGATCGTCTCAGGAGTTAAACGAGAGTCAGTTTACTCTTCTCAAGACTCGTAGCTATAGGGCAGGATTAATGGTGAAGTATCTGCCTTCGTCCTGCTGTTTCTTTAGGTTTGATATTACGGATGAACTTAATGCAGCGACCCTAGATATAAGTATTGGTACCACCGGGACTAGGGAGGCACCGCAGTAGAAGTTTCTTGTTTCAGCTCGTATGCAGGTGCTTTGAATGTTGAATCCGTCGCCTGTACCCTTGCGCACAGATTCCGCACGCCCCCCTCCCTGGCGTGGGGAGGTTGAAACGAAATTGGGTTGTGTATTGTGGTCCCGGTGAGACTTGCGCCTTGTCGTATCTTAAGCCGGTTAGCACAGGTAGTTTGAATTCGGCGCCTGGATATCAACGAAGCATGCACACCCCTCGCGTGTGCTGACACTGAATCGTTTCCATCTGTCCGCCGGTCAGCTGGACTGAGTGACGCTTACTCATTCACAATCAGCAACTCGTTTTGTACTACTCGATACCCGCTCGCTGCAACGCTAATCCGCTTTACCTCTCGGTCTCGTTTCCTTCCCATCCCAGATGCATGCAGAACTAGCGATTGTGCCGACTAGTACTAATTGCGGCGACCCCGACCTGCAGATGGTCAACATGCTCAGGAACAGATTCTTGCAGGTGGCGAGTAGTTAATCGAATCAGTGGGGGCGGTTGGGGGCACGGGATTCTTGGTGATGTTCGTCGTGTTTCCGCCAGGAGTTGCCCTTGCTGTTTCTTTTCCAAATATTTCGTGTTTTTTTGTTTTTTTCGCAAAGATATCGATGCATGTTGGAGTCGTCCTGGTCGGGATGGGCTGGCATTGTCCCCTCACAATGAAGCAGAACTTATCCACGTCATCCGCGACTGCTGCACTGTCTTCGCAGGGCCTTTTCCCGACCACGAATGGCGTTCCTCCTGCGCCACCCCGCCCGGTGATTGTGCTCATTGTGCGCAACGAACTTCGGGGCCTGATGAATAACGAAGAGGTACGTGTACGTGCAACGTACACGCGCACGTTTGTTGTTCACTAAGTAGTATTGACTTTCACAAGTAGTATTGACTGCCGTTGCGTTCCTATCGGATTTCACAAGTAGTATTGACTGCCGTTGCGTTCCTATCGGATGTTCGATGGACGGCGGCCATCTCTCAACCTCCGGTGAGGCTGATATCCTACACAACGGCGATGCGTATGGTGCACGCTAAGTCCGCCACATAGAAATACTGGCCGTGATAGACAGCGAAAGGCCACTGGGTTAAGAGAGAAGGAAAAGCACAAAGAGAATGGACCCTACAGAAATATATGTACGTGGCTAGCCCGCTCACAGAGGGTCCACGGGGGAAGTCTCCTAGAACGTCGAGTGATCTCGAAGGACAGTTGGGTTGTACGGACGAGGTTCTCCGATGCGCAACATCGATTAGTTGTCTTTGCTTGCATGGTTTTTAGTCGTGCATCATCAGGCAGTGCACGACAGATGGGCAGTGAGTAGAATACTGTAGTACAGACTCACGAAATTATAAGCGTACAGGGTTGGATGGGGTGTAGCCCGTAGTCATAGTACCCAACGCATCCCATGCCGTTGGTATATGTTTTCATATCGCGATCCGACGTCGGCGAAAATAGCGGAGTTTCTTTTTCTCGCTTGGTTGACTTATACTGGCTAGTCATGTCCTGTCCGATGCAATACCAACAACTGACAATAATTCGAAAAATAGGTGAAAGAGGCCCTGGAGAGAAATTTTCCAAGCTTCGACGTGGTGGAGTTCTTCGGCGCAGGTTCCGTCCGTGACCAGCTCGAGACCTTCGCAACCGCGGCCATGATCATTGCTCCCCACGGGGCCGGGCTTGCCAACATGATAGTCGCGCCCCTGCACACTCCGGTGCTGGAGATAGGGACGTTAGCGTGCCCCCCCTGCTTCTTGAGGCTCGCGTTGAAGGTACGGATTGGCCATAGGGATATGTTTTTTTTTTTTTTTCACTTCAAATCAGCGCTCACAGCACTAGTGCCGTTTACTCCAACCCGTGGTCACACAGAAGAGCCCCTCTCTACCCTCCCCTCCTGCGGTACTTTGCCTTCGATTTTTAATGCGAGAAGAGTTCAGCACTCTCTTCCCTCTGTGTACACACGAACTAGCGCTATCCACTAGGCCAGAAGCGGAAGTGAGAGAAAAACTCACTTTGCAAGAAAAGCTCGCTTACGCCGGGATGCGAACCCCTGACCTGACCTCTAGAAGGTTACGAGGCTACCAACTAGACCACCGGGGCGACCGGTCCATATGTTGTGCGATATTGAATAAATTGCCGGGAAAAGAGTGGGGAATACTTATCCCCAACTGCTTGTTCCTTCGCTGACGTTAGCGTGCTGTACGAACAAGTACTAGCGTCCAAAATAGTGCTTGCTGTCGATGTGCCGGCGGTGTTGAGTGCGCTGCCGGGCGGCAGGTCATCCGTGCAGTGTACGAGATTTACTGAACGTATAGCAGAGAGCGCGTAGCCTATCCGAAACGATTTGTGGTTATTTCCGAGTAATTGGTTGCTTCGTAGGTCTTCATAGTTGTGATAAGACAGTTGCTTCTTTGGCCGACGTTAGACAATGAATCACTCACCAGTTCGTTGCCTGCGGTGTTGGCTGACCACCAATTGCCGATCTGGACCACCTTGTTTATGCCGCACCGACCGAACAACGTTTCCCGCAACCAACCATGACCGAAAAATAGCTCCACCACATCTACGCGAGACATCCCGGGGGCGAGTGGTCACAGACGTGCCATGCATGGTTCCGGCCAGACGTCGATGAAATCGTCGAACTAGCAAGGTGAGCGAAACCTTGCCTGACGTTTCGTATACTTCTAATGGTGTTTGTGTTCGTGTTATTGTTGTGGCAGCGTATTATTATTTTGTCACATAAGAGTCCCTAGGCGTCTCCCGATGGCTGGCCGGTAAAAATGGCTGCAACTAACATGTTTCGCATTGAGTGACGACATGTCGTTAAGTCGTATATTCCGAGTGTTGGGATGGCTAAGCTGGGGTTTGCCAGCCGTGCCCAAGGCAGCTCTTCGCTGAACCGAGTAGTGGTCGGAATTATCTGTAGACGAAAGTACTCGAAATGGGTGGCTTCAAGGTGAGTGGCATGCGTGGGAAATAGTCAGCAAGTGGGGTGTCACGATCAGTAGTTCGTGCTCACCTGCATGGGGGAATATTTCAAATATTGTTTCGGCAGAACGTCACTGAGCATACACAGTCTGGTCTACCCACACTTGCAATTTCCCCCCCCCCCCCCCCCCTCTCACCTAACGCTAGTCTTTCCATGGATTTTTCGAAACCGTTGCTTTCTTGATGCATCCGAATGTTTGCAGGGATCTCCTCGAGGCAAAACGCCAGGTAGGGAATGCCCTGGGGCTCCCTGAAGTAGCAGAAGCCCATCAAGAACAACCGTAATTTTCACGGTCCACCTCCGCCCGGCTTTACTGTTTCTGGGAATCCTCTCAGCTACCGGGGAGTGATGTTAGACTTCCTATCGTCCGCACGGTCGCGCGTCCTGCACAGCCGGGACGGAATGCCTCAAATGTGTGCCAAGGCACCGGGACCGGGCAGGGGGGCTTTTTGCCCACTTCGGCCGATCCAGATATGCTCTTTTGAGTGCGTAGGACGAGGTCATCTCCGTAATCCTTCGGCGAAAATTCATCGCCCTCGTGCATGGCGATGTACACCTCCCTCTGAGGACGAAATTCAAAATTGTATATTTTTTCAAATATTGCCTGTGTACATGCTTGTAGTTGACCTATATTGTTTTTCGATTCATCATGATGCTTTGGGCTTTGTGTGTGGTCGTTCATGCGTGTTTGATTTCCTTGATTATGTTGTATAGCCCGCGCTAAGCCTCTGACCAAAATCAAGCCAATAAACACGTTAGTTCCAAGGTCCTTTGGCAGTGCATGTGTTGTGTTTTTTTGTGAGCGTCACCCGTGATGCTCACCTGGTAAAGTAACCGGCGTCTTCTTCCTGCACGAATATCGCGAAAGTGCCTTCTAGGCCTCGGGCGATGTGTGCATCTGTAGGTGTCATGGACCAGGCTAGGGGGCCGACCAATGAAAATACGAACACGCTTTCCATCATCGGGGTCCCCCGACAGAGGGGGTTCTGCCAAATGTTCCCAGATAAATCTTGGCCTGCTGATGACCCATGTTTGTTTGGATCAAATTGCTTTTGCGGGTTGTTCAATGGCAGCAGTTTCGATGGTGTGTTGGACTCCTGCCCCCTTCGGGATATTCCCTTGTCTCTTTCATTTTCTAGTAGTGTGCTGGCGCTTCCGTTGTTACTGAGCACGTGACACGGGCCAGATTTGCTCAGGTGATTCCATCTGACGTAAGAAACTAACAATAGTCGTGGTTTGTTGCAATTTAGTGCTTTTCACTCAGACCCTAACCCTTGGGGTATGGCAGGCCCAAGACCGTGTGCACCTCGTCGTGTTCCTGATGATGCGTTTATCGCGCCATTGTCCACCTGGATCTTGTGGTAATATCGGATTTGAGACGAATCCAGATTTCGGAACGAAATCGGGAAGAGTCAGATATCCCATCATTTTGGGTTCAGAAAGGGGACTGAACAAGAAGACTGAACATGTTGGAATGTGACTCTACCTTGTTCAGTCCCCTTTCTCTCTCCCGAAATACGCCGGAGCAGAGGAGAAAGAAGAAATATTTGAGACGCCCTACGAATACTGTTTCTATTCATGAACTTGCTGATCATTCAAACGCTTCGGGTCTGGGCATATTGCGATCTGTATGCCCAGCCCGAAGAGTTACTTCACGGCGAGGCCCTCCTGTCAGTGCAGGAGGCCTCACCCAACCCAATCCAAAACTTACATTGAATGATCTAGGTAAGGGACAAGAATACAACAGTAAATATATGTTTCTTCTCTAAATGCATGAATCCTGTTTGCAATGCTATCCACGTTACTGCTTATTTCAATATGTTGGCATGGATTGTTCAGTGTAGCCATGCATATGAGGCGAGCGTACCGCGTTTGTTTCACGTCATTCTGAGTAAGGACTGGTTGTTAGGAATGCTTGCGGGAATGACGGCCGAGCCCTCTCGTTAAGAAATGCAGGCATGCAAATCCCTTGTTTGTCTTAGGACGGATCTCTGAGATCGGGAGGCAAGGCCGTAGCGTAGATAGAACCTACGAGCGAGTGCTGGTCTCGTTGAATGACGAGCAAGTGCCCTTATGTTGGCTTTCGAGTTTGGGCCATGGGGCCTACTTCATCTTTTGCGCTTTTGCGCGCCACGTTTGTTTGTTGTCGACGAAATGGTGGCGTTCATTTTCTTTTTCGGGAATGCATTTTCCTTTCCGTTGGGATTTCCCAGTTAGCCACCCAAACCCTTGTTTTTTCCTGTTGTATTATTGCTCGTGGCCTAGGATCATTTAATCTAAGTATTGGATTTTGGATGCGGCCTCCAGCTCTGAGGCCGGCGGTCCCACGGATGCACTGCCGCGCCGACTGCAGTTGGCGCGGCAATGAATCTGTAAATGATCCTGAGGCTTTGAGCCTCAATACAACATTAGCTGCAGGGTGGGTGGGGTGGTCGCGAAATTTTTTCTTTTCTACCCTGTGTTCTCGCGTATTCACGGTAGGGAGAAAGACAATGATCGGCTGTATGCAAATTTCAACATGCTACCGGGACAGACGCCTACATCCATTTTCGTGCCGAATTTGAATTCGTTTGCAGACCCGATTTTACTGTTGTATTATTGCTCGTGGCCTAGGATCATTTAATCTAAGTATTGGATTTTGGATGCGGCCTCCAGCTCCGGCCTGTGGTCCCACCCATACTTTCCTTGTCCCGTCTTCTTCGCGACCACTGACCTGGAGCGTGGTTGAGCCACCCAAACTTTCGTATATTCAGCTATGGGATTAAACCGGCGTACGGGGGGGGCATACGCTGCAAAGGCGGCTCCCAATGCCAGAGACAACAACTCCTCGTGGAAAGCCGTATAGTTCGCCGCCCCCCCGCCGTGTGAAGGACGGCCCAATGTTGTGTAGTTCTTCACCACCATCGGTTCCGGTCTCTAACCCCCATCGGCACATCTCCTTTCGCGCTAAGCCGGGCTTGGATCTGGTCAAAGCCCTCCTTGCCCTGAAATGTTGCATGGAAAAAGAGGGCTGGTCGGCAGGCCACAGTTGCGCCGAAGAGCCACCGTATCCTGGGCCGCAGCGCTTCAAGATCCACTGCTATCATCATCGAGCACCGCAGACGCATGCTGGCGGAGGATAAGCTCCACGACACAGCTTGGCCCGCGTGGATGTAGCCCGCTATGGCTCTGACTGCACCAATGTCCCTAGCGGTGATCCGGACTAACAGCTGCAGTGCTGGTGGTGAATGTGAGGCTCGTGTTCACCGTCGGACTGGCACCAAAGGTTCTGAGCCCCGACGTAGAGTTAAAGTCGTCCCCTCTGCCAAGTTGCTCGTTACACGCCGTGTTCAACTTACAGAAAGAGTCCTTGGAGAGCGACACGGCGGCAGATTGTTTTGCCCACGTGGAGCCGGAAGAACAAAACAGGCAACCGGGCGACCCCACTTCCACGCACGTGACATAATGCTCCGATCTTGTCACCTTCCCCGGAGAATCGACCAAGTAATCAACCTACCGCCTTGTTCCGGGAGGCGTGAATCCAACCGATGCCGTTCAAGCAAAGCGCGCATCCGACCACATCAGTGACGACGACAACGGTGTTTTGCTCCCCGCGGTTGGGGGATGTCCTCTGGCAATCCTCAACACAAGTTCGTCCGTGTGCGCCCGAATGATGTTAGACGCCCTTTCGACCGCAGGCGCTAATATATGCACGGACGGGGGCCACCCCGCCAACAGGTGCACTCTGCACCAACACGGGAAACCCGCCTACCGGCGGGTAACCATCTACCGACATAAGTGTATGGGTCAAGAGGAACATGACTTCTGACTTCGCGCGCAATCATCGCCCAGTCAGGATATCGCCAACGCTTGAGGATGCCCAAGCCAAACAACACTCCGACCTCTGCCATGTGCGCGACCTCGACGGAGCGGGCTGTCGCTAGTTGTACACAGGGGAAAACCTGCAAATTGTGCATGGTGAATTGTGCATGGTGAATTGTGCATGGTGCGGTTCGTCGCCACCCGCAATTGAAGGAGTCTACTACCGACTGGATGCCGGCGTCGAACAGGACTCGGTGCGTCGGAGATGATTCGGGAGTGGTTGGCGGTTCAAAGACGGCGCATACACCGGCGAGCCATGTCTGCATGCGGTGACGGTTCGAGCATCCGCGGTGCTCCCTTTGCTGGCATCGTGCCGCCCAGGCCAGTCTTTCGATGTGGCGACTGGGGCGAGGCAGGTCGGGCGTACTGTGTACACAGTGCATGTATACCCGAGATATCATGATCACCAACGAGTTTCAGATGAGCAGGTTTCGGGGCAAATAAATGCCGAAACGATGCAACTATCCAGACTGGAGCAAAAAAACCATGCCCAGGAAAAGACACGCGCAACGCAGCGCCGGGCCCACTACTACCTACGACGACGGAGTCGTTGTTCCTACGTGAGGGAGTAGGCCGCACTGCTATTGCGGGTGCGCCTGTGCAGTGTGCGTCAATCGATGGGAAAGGATCGGAACCTTCGCCCGATTTATGTATTTCCGAGCATCGGGTGCTAAGGCAATCGTCGGTACGATGCAACTATCCAGGCTGGGAGCCGAGAAAACATGGCACAGCACAGACACTCGTAACGCAGCGCCGGGCCCACTACTATATGCAACAATGGAGCTGTTGTTCCTACGTGAGGGAGTAGGCCGCACTGCTATTGCGGGTGCGCCTGTGCAGTGTGCGTTAATCGATGGGAAAGGTTCGGAACCTTCGCCCGATGCATGTATTTCCGAGCATCGGGTGCTAAGGCAATCGTCGGTACGATGCAACTATCCAGGCTGGGAGCCGAGAAAACATGGCACAGCACAGACACTCGCAACGCAGCGCCGGGCCCACTACTACTTGCAACAATGGAGCTATTGTTCCTAGGTGAGGGAGTAGGCCG